TGGTGAGGCTGAGACCTCTGACTGTAGATCTTTCCCCTTGAACAATGTGCTGTGACACTCCTTTGTGATCTAGTCTTGTTTGCATTAAAGGGATTTTTTTCTTTGTATTTGCCAGCATCTATCACTGGTTTGATATTTCTGTGATCCAAGAACACACCTGTGACAATCCTTCTATCTCCTAGTTTTGGTGGGGGTCCCCTGCCCCACTCCATTTCCCGTGGCAATTCAGGTCAAGCTTTGATGATTAAAAGACTGACAAGGTTTGAGAGTCACCAGTAAGTTCAGAAGCACCACTACATGGAAGAACTGAAAGAAAGAAGCACACTGCACTGTAATAGGAATTTCTTGTTATCAGACCCTGACAAGTGCTGCATGAATTTTCTAACAGGGCAATTCTGAGCTGTGGGGTTTCAAGGAAACACAAAGGGCCAAGACACCTCTGTGATGCTCTCCAGCCATTTGTCACTGCAGCCCTGACTGCTCTGTTTGTGTTGCAGCTGGCAGGACTGGTTATCATYGCCTTCGGGCTGTGGCTGCGCTTTGGTGGGCCCATGGCAGAGTTTGCTACAGACAAAAAGTCCCCGGAGTATTTCTTCATGGGTAAGTTCCACTGCTGGGAGCACACAGCCTTCAGCTTTGCTTTCATCCTGGGGTAGGTGACACASCTTATATACATTGAATTATAGGAAGGTCAACAATTCCTGGGCAGAGCTGCACAAAACTGGACATTCTGGTGCTGTGTGCCATGTGTGTGATGGCTTTTGACCTTTCTCTGCTTGGCATCCACTTCCTTAGACCTAATTAATCTCTTCTCCTGGACTTGATCCAGTCTCCACATATCCTAAGTGAATTGTGCTAATACTCTCAGAATAGAAGGCRAGGCAGGTCAGAGACTGGTGGGACTCACCAATATATCCCTCGAGAGTGTTCTGTGCAGCTGTCAGCCAACAAAACAAGTGTCCCTTTGGAATGTTCCCAGTACCAGGACAGCAGCAAAATTCCGCTCCCCAGTTCTCCCTGTGGAGGYCTCCAGTGGGACTGAAGTGTCAGAGCAAATCCTTCCACAGCTGAAAWGTGAAACTGCCTGGTGTTCAGTCATCTCAGGAGCTGTTTGTCCCACCTGGGCAGGAATTATCTAGTTAGTGTGCCCACAGAATTGGGATTATTCACATCTAATTTTAGCATTTAAGGTAACTTTTTTCCCCCTAGGATTTCCAGGYGGGTTTTCTGGAAATGCCACCTGTGTTTCATATCTACAGACATCCTTAAATAGCAGCTGTCTGGGACTGCCAGCAACTGCAGTTTTCTGTCACTGGCAGCTGTAACATACCTGTATACCAGAAAAGTCAGATRTTTTTCTGTTTAATACATCACCCCTGGAGATGGACTCAATAAAATCCCATTGGTGCAAACATTTTTGCCATCTACAAATGCCAAGTGTGAGTGAATACCCAGTCCTGCCCTGACCATCAAGCCCCTCTGACAGGGTGGAAGGACTGGGGGTTGACCCGAGGTGTCCTGCAGCAGTTACCCATCACTGCAAGATTGTGCAGTCACTTTTAATACCCCAACTCTCTCAGTGGAGACTTTGACTCAGATCCACCACAGCCTCAGGCCCAGGTTTCTTTAACATCTGCAGCCAGGCTGGAGGCACAGAACTGGCTGTGCAGCTGTGGGAATAGATGGGGAGAATGTTACATCCAGCAACATTACCATGGGATTTTGTGAGGCTGAACAAAACCATTCAGATGAAAACATTGTTTGGGACCTGAGGGTTATTGTAAAATACCCTGCAGAACCTCTACTGACACAGAGAGCCAGGAAGCGTGATTTAATTTTTCTCTTACATCTGAGCTGCTATGACAGCAGCATATTAGATCACCAACTTCATTTCCAGATCCAGTTTATACCTGCTAAATTCCCTGTGCTGTAGATTGGAATGCTTCCCTGCCTCATCCACCAATATTTGTCCCAGGAGAGCAAACAAGACAAAAAGATGTTCTGGCCTTCAAAATTCAAGTGCTGTTGGAAGGCAGAAAATGCTACATCCTGTGCTAGGGGGAAGCACCACAGCTTCACAGCACAGACTGGAACACACAGTGTAAACAAGATATTCTTTGGTGCATGTGTATTTAAATCTTCAAAAGATTTAGTCTGCTTCTGCCCTGAATAGAAATTACAAAAGTTGTTCAAAGTTGTTAATTTTGGGAAGTCCTGGGGAATGTTCCTGTAGAAGTTTCATCAGAGACCATGACATTCAGCTCTTGGGCTGCCACATGTATTTATAGAGCTGCCTGCTGAAATACATAACAGTGAGAGGAAGTGCTGAGGAACAGGGCACAGAGATGTTCTGAATTCTTTTAAATTTGCGCTTTGGACTTAATTCCAAAGTAAAGTTTTTGCCCTTTTTTGTAAGAGGCACTGGACAGAGCATTCCTGTGCAAGAAAACCAAAGTTTTGTGCTGTCCTCTCTCCCTCATTACAAATCCTGCCTGTTATGAAGGAAATGCTGTTGTGACTCCTGAGCATCTGATGGCACAGCCGTGCTGAGACTGTCAGCAGTCTGGGCCCAAGGCAGTGCTAAAGGACAGTGAGAATTCAGTTACAGTGGGGTTTGCAGCACACAAAGCTGCATTTGAAGGTCAYGCTGAAGAGCTTTCCCTCTCTAGGAGATTTCAGCTCGGAGTCCCCCTTGGCAGTTATGTACTGGGCCTTTCTCAGAGTCTCTGGGACTGTTGTTTGTTTGGCTCTGTGTGTTTGCTCTCTAACATGCTTTCTGGGTGGCAGCCAGGCTTTTGCATAGGAATTCTTAATATGGAACACTGTGCAGCACACCAGGAGCAGCTGCCCTGAGGGTTGAAAGAGAAAGCAGATCAGCAGTGTGACTTAAAATATAAGCTATACACCCAAAAAAATTTTTTTATCTCTGCTCCACTGATGGCTTTTGTGCCTCCTTGTGATAACCCAAAGCCCTGTAGTCACATCAGCTTTGTGTCAGTGCTTGGAACAAYAGTGCAGGTGCATTTGGAGTTCGCTTTGCAGGCTGAAATACTCCAGAATCACCATCTTCTGAGAAACAGTTAATTTTCTTTCTTCTTTCGGCAGCACATTCTGCTCTTTCTGTACCTGGACTGAGCTGCCAGCCGAATCTAACCAGCTTCTCTCTTCTGCTTCCTTGTGATAGTTTTTTTCCTGGATCTGAAATGTTGGGTTACTGTAAAATAATTGATAATTCTATCCTTGCATTTTCCATTAGGCCAGAGTGAGTCTCCTTAAATAGCCCTGTTCTTTACCAGCAGTCCAGCTGTCTTTTCTGCCCCTGGAATAGTTCGGGCCATGACTTGGCAACCAGGCCTGTTCATCTTTTCCAGCCACTGAGATGTTTTTGTTGGTTGGAGAACAGCTTACAGACAGCAGTGCTGTGGGCAAGCACATATGTGTTCTTAGCTTTCTGTTGCTTGTGGTTTTGTGTTTGGTGATCCGGATTCCCCACTGCAGCTTGCAGTGAAAAACCTACAACAGAAAAGGTTGGAAGTGGAACTTTTTGACCCACGCAGTCTCTGTCCATTTTAGCAGATATATCTTACACTGGAGCAGACTCATGAAAGTGGACATCCTCTCCCTGCAGCTCCCCAGCTTTTGGAATTCCCACTACAGTGGGACAATATTTTTATGTTACTCAGTCTCACAGAACAGTTTTTGTGCCTGTGCTTCAGTTGGTCAAGCAAAACTGCAGCTTCCTTGTTCAGCTGCAGTTCAGCTCTGATAGAGTTCATGGATCCCTCTCTTAGCTGTTCTTGAGAGAGAAAAAAAATGAAAGAATAAAAGATAATTTCAGACAAGGCCCATAGCTGGCAGATACCTTTTTATCTGAGTTGTCTGTGATACTGTACTGATCAAAGGGAGTAAAGGTCTCTAGAATTAAGGGAATTCCCTCAGATTGCTCATCCTTCTTGACACTCCTGTACCAAGACTGGCAAATTTTTTACTGGGCAGAAAAGTCTGCAACAGTCAGAAGGAAATAGAATGCTTGTGGGAGCCAAGGTGTCAGCACTGCTGTCTCACAATTAATTGGTCCTTAATTAATTCCTTGCAGTAGTGCTGTTCTTAAAATTAAGAATACCTAAAGCACGRTAGTACAGACCAAGGGCTGCTGAGTGCAAGTGGAGCATTTGTGAAGTAAAAACTGACATGGGGACTTTTCAAGGATCAGTTCCAGACCCCCATTCTTCCATCTCTGCTTTTGGTGGACAAAGGGCAACAAAGAGGACAAACTCTGTATTCCTAAGAATGAAGTGCAGAGGGTCCCATCCCTGCCAGTAACAATAAAAGTGAAGTGTATGTACTCAACAAAGCCCCTCAGGAATGGTAACAAAACCTGCTGAAAGCAAACAAATCTTTCTGGGTGGTTCTTTCTCAGCCCTGAAATGTTGCTTCTCCTGCAAAGCCAGAGCTCACAGCACTTCTGCTCTATTCTGTTCTCTTTGTTTCAGTCCCATGATCCAATCTGTGGTCCAGGCATCCATCAGGGCCAAAGCAGCTGTGCACAAAAGTTTTAGGGTGATTGTGGCTTTTCCTTGGTGTCTGTGAGAGCAGCAGTGATGCTGCTGGCTTTGAAAGGTACAGTTAGATGGAGCGTGCCTTAGGGTATGAAGTCATGTCTGGAGCTGAAGGATATTAGTAGTTTTTCTCCATAGTAGTGGATGCCCATACAAACAGGAATTGGCCAGAGTTAAAGCCATGTGAACTGCAGTTCTCTGCTCCTGTGCCTCACTTTGTTCTAGTTCTGTTCATTCTAGTTCTATTCATGCATTTTGGAGACAAGCTCTATACCCTTAGTCAACAGGATTTYCTCTCCTAAATCCACAACCTGTCAAACTCTACCAGCCTTTAAAATGAGAGCTGTTGRCAAAGCAGAGAGATGTGATACCACAAGAAGAGCATTAAATGGCCCTGCTATCATGTACTGGAGAGGCTTTTAGTCTGTACTTAAGACTTAAGCAATGAATTTGTCTTTCTTCCTATCAGCTTGTGTGCAGCTCTTTTTCTGCCACTCAGGAAGAGTGCTTTACAAAAGGCTGATAGTGGCCCTGAGTGGAAAACGGAAGCTGCTGCACTGGAAATTGGCTTTAAAAACATGACACCATGACTACCAGCCCCTGAAAAAACCTTACTCATAATGAAAGTTGTTCTAAAGTCCTCAGTCTCTGTTCTGGATCATAAAACCTTGCAGCAGTTCCTAAGAGTCAATATTCCCCCTGACAGAATAAAGGCAAGAATAAAGGCAATTCTGACCAAACAAGCTAATTTAGCCTAATGGAACAATCTGTCCATCTGCCTCAGGTTGATTGTTTCATATTTGACAAGATGCTGGGGTTCAGGAGGTTTTTTATCTTTAATCACTTAAGCATGRTAATGCACTTTATGCTTTTTACTCATTATATTGTCCTCCTGGGTGACTTCTCCCACCCTSCTCCCCCTGCTGTAGCTGTGTAAATGCCAGCCAGTCCCACCCCACAGCAGTTGAACCCACAGTTACACCATTTCCTTCTCCCTCGAGGCAGATGGAAGCCACCCTGGTTCCTGCTSGCTGCTGGCAC